GCGGAGCGGCCGGCGTGCGGGCTGGGGTCGCTGCTGGCCATGTCGTGCCGCGACCGCGCCGAGGCGTTCGCCCGGCGCCTGCAGTCGCGCCTGCAGACGCTGGGGCTGGGCGCGCCGGGCGAGCCCCCGCCCGCGGGGCCCCTGGACGCCCTGGACGGCCCGGACGCTGCCCCCGCGGACGGGGGCTCCGCCGCGCCGCCGCCCCGCCCTCCGCTGCGCCTGGGCTCCTCGAGCGACTCCGACCTCTTCTACGACTTCGACCTGGCCAGCCCCGCCAGCCCCGCCAGCCCGGCCAGCCCCGCCAGCCCCGCCGAGGAGGCCTTGGAGCTGGTGGTGGCGCAGCAGCCGCGCGGGGCCGCCCCCGCCCCCGCCCCCGTGGAGCCCGAGTCGGGCGTCACCTCCTCCTTCTTCGGCACGTCCCCGGGCAGCGACAGCTCCGACGCCTTCGCCTCGCCGTCCAGCTCGCCCGCGTGGTGCCCCGCGCGCCGACGCCCGCCCTACGAGGGGTGCAACGGCCACGCCGCGCCGCACGCGCCCGGCCTCAACGGCTCCGCCCATCACGTCAGCGAGAACGGGTGGGGGCCGCCACTGGGGGAAAGGGACTGTTCGCAGACTGTTCTCGGCAAGGACTACGCACAAACTGTTCTGGAGGACCGTTGTGCACACTCCATAGTAGAAAACGGGTCTGCGCCTGCTGTTTTGGAGAACGGATCTGAACACACCGTTCCGAAGAATGAATCTGCGCACACCATGCTACAAACAGAATCTTCGCTCGGGAACGGCTCTGCTGTTTCCCTGAATGAAGATGAAGTGGAGTGGCATCAGATGAATAATGTGTCTTCAGAGAATATTTGCAACAATGACGGTTATATCCCTGAGAACGAGGATTTTTGGGGGCAAAATAACAATGAAGATGCAGCCATCGACGAAGCAGTTAGCATGAGAAATGTTTTGAACCTCGAAAGTGAAAATGAGTCGACGCGATTCACAGACCTAATAACTTCTCTAGAAGCTGCTACGGTCAACGAAACTGATGGCAGTTCTGATCACGTGATAACGGAAAACGATGCAACAGAAACTGAATCTGGACTCTACTCTGACAATATGTTTAATGAATCTGCGTCGTTATATGTTCCACACGAAGAAGAAATAGAACTACTGCCGTCTGAAACTATCACGAACGAATCCTCTTTCACCAGCAGAGAAAGAGAGGAAGACGATGAACTTGGCAGTGGTTTTAGGTTCAATGACGACTGGGAGGATCGGTTTTCGGATTACTCCCCTGAAGACGTTTGCGCGGAAGCAGATGAGCAAGCAAATGTCACATCGAAAGAAGAATGTAGAGAAGAAGAGCGAAAAGTCTCTGATGCAGGTCCGAATCTCAGCACGAGTCAGAAGGACTCAACTTACCAAAGTACCTTCTGCACGGTAGCTAACCTCACCTTGGAGTGTTCTCCTGAAGGATTGCAGCCCGAAAGACTCTCCGAAGAGAAAATGCCGTCTGTCGTAGAGGACGTAGGTGTGCTGCCTAGACGACCGTCTTGGGACGGAACTCAGACGAAGGAAGACAGCCTGGGGGAAGACGTGCAAGTACCTGAGGTGTCGAGCAGCGCGGGCGCGGACGCGGGGCCGGAGGCCGCGCAGAGCGCGTGCCGCCGCTCCCCGTCCCCGCCGCCGCCGCGCCCGCCCGCCGCAGGTCATCTGGCGACCTGAGCCGGGGCGACGAGGACGAGGAGTCGGAGCGGAGCGGAGGAGGAGTTCGCTCGCGCGAGGAAGCGACGCGCACCAAGCTGCCCCGGAGCCGCGCCGCCGCGCCGGCCGCCGCCCGACGCCGAGACAGGCCGAGGACGGGCGAGCGCTCCCGCTGCAGCGGGCTGCGGCGCTGCTCCTCGCTCAAAGAGGCAAGACGGCCGCCGGGCCACCCCGCACCGCAAGAAGATCGTGCGCTTCCGCCGGACCGCCGCTGGGGGCTGACCTGGCGACGTGCGCACCTTCCTCGACCGACGTCAAACCGCGCGTCCCCAGCGTCGGCGTACGACGACCCTGCCCGGCGCCGACCTCCGCCGGCCAGCCGGCGGCCGGCGGCGCGGACCCGCCCTTTCGCCGTGCCGTCCCGACCCGCAAAAGCCGCGCTCTCCCTCGGCTGAGCCGCGCGCCCTGCAAGGCGCTCGTGCCCACCTTCCAGCAGCCCGGCGGCCGGCCCGACTTCCTGGAGCGCATCCGCACGCGCTTCGTCAGCCTGGAGAACGCCGTGGTCGCCGACGCCGCCACCGCGTCCGTGGCCGGCGTGGTGCGCGTGCGCAACCTGGACTTCCACAAGAGCGTCTTCGTGCGCTACTCCATCGACGGCTGGAGGTCCTACGCCGACCTGCAGGCCACCTACGTGCCCGGCTCGTGCGACGGCTTCTCCGACAAGTTCTCCTTCGTGCTGTTCGCGCACACGCTTGCCGTCGGCCAGCGCCTCGAGTTCGCCGTGCGCTTCCAGTGCAAGGGCGCGCAGCACTGGGACAGCAACGGCGGCAGCAACTACGGCTTCCAGTGCCTGCCCGCCGCCAGCCCCGCCCCCTACATGCCGCTCCCGAGCCCCGAGGACCGTTGGGGTTCCTTCTACTAAGCCCGCGCCACAGCTAGCTATCTCCGTTCTGGCAGATACGCCTCGGTATATTTATGCTGCCGCTGGGCGCTTTCGAAGCTGTGTACAAATTCCAGTTGTCACGTGCTCCTCTTTCACGATTATTGTACGCGATGCTAAACTGACGGTTCTATTAATTATTCGTCAGGTCAGAACCGTCAGGTTTTCACGGCGACACACATTCACGTATACTGGTGATATGTGTATGGTAACACGCATTGGTGTGTTTAAAAATTGTATGACGTATTTAATTACTTGACGTACTTGTTACGGCTTTCGAAGAAAATTTATATATCGATATTTCTCTCTGCTTTTCGATCGGTTATTAATCTAGCTAACTGGCAGAGACGGTGGAAACTGAGTAAAACAGCTGAGAAATACTTTATACGTTGATGCTATTTGAAGAAATTGTATTTCTACACGTGCAATTATATTACAAAGGAATGAAAATACAATTAATTCCACCAAAAAATTCACTCTCAGTATGCATTGTCGGTTGCGTACTTCTGACCATAATTTGTGGTTAAACCCTTCAATTATGTGATTGCGTTTTTAATTTTAAAATGGTTATTCCTAATACTATGCATTTCGAAAATTGCGAAAAATATTTGAAATTATTTTAATATTTCAGAGTCAAATATTCCTTGAGCGGCTAAAACTCAACGTACGTAACTTATGCACTGTTAATTATATAGTCGACTAAATGTTCATGGTTCGTATGTCAGTGACCTGTTTTACATCAGAACATGACATAAGTGTATGAAACACTGACGACAGAGTGAGAAAGCGTAATCGAATAGTACCTGATCACAAATCCCCGTAAAACTATCTTATTATGAGCCATTAAGTGTGTCTACGCCAGTGTTGAATCGTGAATACTTAACAGATTGTAGAATAACTTGGAGAGACAAAAAAACATACAATTTAAAATTCTCGATAATAATGATAATAGCAACAGGTACGCTTATGATTAAGTATGCAAAATGACAAAGTTATTTGGCTTTCAGTAAGATTCAATGGAACTACTCCAAATGAAATGTCTATAAAACATATGATTACAACAATTACAAATCTACACAAACTAAAATTTTATAATTTAGAAATTAATATGAAGAAGAATAGTTCTAAAACTTGTTGAATTATGTTTGTGTGTGAAGTAGTATGTAATGTAATAAGATAAACGTTTATCGTATGTACAATATTTAATTTTAAAATTGCTCTGGTACCAAATAAAAAAGTAGTTTCACAAAGGAGGGTGCTTGTAAACGAATCATTCCGGAATATTATTTTTGGCCAATGAATACAACTGCACGGGAGAGACATCGATTCCGTTTGACACATTTGTTGCTACTGTACCAGCGCCCCACGTCATCTTCTTCACTAAAATTTGTTAATAATATAATATTTTTTCATTAGTTACGTAAAAGGTGCTCTTTATTGTTCACTTGGGACACACTATGTGCCAAATATTAATTATTAATTACTAGTAGTCTTCAAGATTTTGTCTCTTGAGTTTTTATTAAACATTTATGGCATATTACAAAAGTCAATTTACGGATGAATGCTAATAAATGTACATTGAACAAGTATGTGTTCACAAGCATTAAATAATCTAAGGTAGAATATGTATATTTTTCTTAAATATGTAATATTTTCAAATTTTCGAACTTCCATGTTACTCATTTTAAAGACTTTTAACTCATAAACATATTTTGTACCATAAACAGTGAGATATAAGAAAATAAAAATATTTTTCAGATAATGTTAAGAAAGCCATATGGGAATCCAGTATGATTATCGCGTCTATTCTTAAATGTTTTGCAGAAAATTTGGAGTAACCTTACTGGATCACTTGATTTATTTATAAGTGTGTTTGAAGTAAATCATCTGTTTCATCCAATCGGAAGCTTGAACGTCACCATAGTGACGTCACTGTAGCGATATATAAACTCTCCATTGGATGAAACCGTCATCAGCTGATTGGCTTCAAACGCGCGTATAATAAATCGTACTATAGTCAAGGAGTTTCTCCTTACCGGATGTTTTTGTAATAGTAGTTCATGCAATTAGTTTATAATGTTAAGCTTTATTACACGAGTACATGTTTTGAGCAAGTTTTTAACAAATTTGTACCAATGCAATAAAAGCAACATTATAAACGAGTTGCAAACACTATTTTTTGCATAACAGCATTATAAATGTATAATAGAATCAAACTTAATTTTGCGAAACAACTTTCTTGTGACGTCTCGGGTATTTGACATGTGCGAGAAAGTGGTGGTGGGCTGTTCCGTTCACTGCTTCCTCCCTACGATTCTCTCGCTACGATTGGCTAAATGTGTAATGACGCAACCATTCGTGCGGTAAAATGTCCCTTTATGAACGATTTCTTGCAACAGAAAAGGTCATTTATTTTGCCAATATACAAAAAATTTGTTTTATGTTGTTCAGAATATTCATGTGTGACAAATGATCATTACTGTTCCATCATAAACAGTTATAGTTATTTCTCTTGGGGCGTTTTTATCTTTTCTAAAGAAAAAAGGTTTATATGTTAATTTTACAAAATAAGGAGTAAGATTCGTACATTCTTATCCAAATTAGACTACTTTCAGCACTTCGCAATTCTTGTGGAAAGTATGTCAATGGGTAAATTCAGCGTGCCTTTACAGTCTCTCCTATTTACGATCTGTGCTCTCTTGTTCGACAAAAGTCACACAGGAATCACTACCGCTGGTCTTACAGAACCTTAACGAAAATAGGCTATGTATCAATCTAGTCTCCAAATGAATAGTATATTTGTTTTATTTGCAAATAGTTCGCAGAGTTAATATAAAAGTAACTTGTGCGTTTCAGCGATCTATGTATATAATTTGAAATGTTCTTAAGTTTTAATTTTATAAAACATGATATTTCAAAGGAAATAGAGAATGAGATTTTAATTTTAATTTAAACAAATTGACTGAAACATGTTTGTGTATTTTCTGTAGATTGTAAACATTATACGAATCACATAGTTCTTATTTTTATCCAATAAAATATGTGTCTTTGGTTCTCTTCGAATTTTATTTTTCCCCTTTCGACATAATGACATATCGAGAGTTGCCATTTTGTATGTTTTTCAAGTGAGCAACCCACATACAGAAAATATAGCCCTTAATATTGAAGAAACTGTCGTATGAAATGTTTCTATACGATAGTCTGTGTGCAAGCAATCGTATAATAATTTCTATATTGAATATTAAGAAACGTCGAAGCGTAAGGGTGAATATGTTTGAGAATTCCGTGGCTCTAATTATTTTCTTTTTACACGTTTACTTCTTATGTAATGCAATTTTTTAAATATAATTCCAGAAATACTAGAAGTATAACTTCCATATCGTATTAGAGACGATGTAATTGGAGGTAATTAGGATTCATAGATTCACTTCAAATAGAAATGAGATTACGATCATTAATGTTCAATATGTAACAAATTGTTCGCAAAAAATGTGTGCCATATCTTAGCTTTTGAATAATGCTGGTACTAGAAATGCGTATATGCAAACTGCAACTAAAGTGTTCCTATTCGTGTTTTTCTAAATATTAATTTACATTCAACGTAAGAAGAACGTCTATGATATGATTACGAATTAGAATCCTGTTGCATCCTGTTTATGACGCTACAATCGTGAAATTGTCGTTTCTTTTTTCAAACAAGGTGGTCAGAAATACCATAGATTAACACCATTATTCATCCATGATAATACATTTCTCTCTCCTTTATTACTTCGCTGAAAACGGGATTGCCACAGAAACCCGTCTTCTTGCGCTGAGTTGTGTAACATGTTTCCTAAGACTTGCACTTCATATTTCAATTATTTTGATTCATAGATTTCTGCTTCCATCAATGTCTCAGATTTGTTGTTGTACTGTACCTGAAATAATAGAAAACACACTGTATACACCCCAGAAATGTTGTTTGTCTCGTCTTAAAATTTTATTCTTTTTAGAAATAAAAATAACATCTTAAACAATAAGTTGTGTGAACTGATTTTAAGATTTCCTGGATTCAAAAAGCAATGGGCAACTTATCCTAAACTCAAAGCCTCCTGAAGACGTGCCCTACCTAGTATACTACATTGAAGAGGAGGAGGAAACCTGGAGATTACTAGATCATAGCTGATGCAGGAGAGGTAATCATTGGAATCCTCGTCATTATGTTTTGACGGCATAAAATTATGCGGTAAAATATGTCTGTTTTTGTGTATTCAATTCCAGCAAACATAACAAGAACAATTTATGTTTTGAGAGATTTATCCAAGGTTATAAGATTGAAGAAAAACACACGAGAAGCATGACACAACTTGGAGGTAAGTTCGTACTGTTTCACGTAAAAGTAGTTTTTCATAGGTTGAGATACAGTTTGTATCAATGATATTAAAATAGAGGTTTCCCTGATCTTTCCGTAATTATATATAGTAAATGCTTGAATGTCTTTAGTTGTTTCATATGATTGAGCTAAATAGGGGACGGCGAGTCTCGGGTGTGTTGGAGTTTTTGGTTAAACATGTTATTTATGATAGCATACGGTAATTAAATTGTCTCGTTACTCTTATATTTCTGTCTTCAGAAGAAAATTAATATACTTTATTTAATTTGCTTTTGTTATGTTGTTCATTAACACAAATTCTCTTTTTTCAAACTTGAATTTGTAATTTTTTAAAATATTGTAACCAGTAGAAATGCAACCACATCCAATGAAAATATTTGGATTTGTTTAACTCTCACATTGAATACACAAAATTATTTTCAAGAAGTTATAATATTTTGCCACAAGAAAACTGTATTAATCTTCACAATTTTTGGTAATGGCACTTACCATTGTTTTCTGAACGATAAAATATGCACATCTGTTTCAATGATTACAAGATCATAAAGCAAGTTAATGGATATCTGAATTACTATTTTATCTCCTTCATTGGCACTGTTAACAATCTGCACCCTTTTGGTTAATAAGAACTTGGTTAATAAAAGAAAAAAGTTATAATATAATTGTAAAATTATGAAGATTATAAAAAAGGAAGAAAATCAAGGTATCTATAATTTCAGATATTTTGAATAATTTTATTGAATTTTCTTCAATAATTTTTTCAAATAATATTTATTTAGCTATGTTTTCTGCCAGCAAACAATTTATTTTTAGGTCTTGTGAAAATATAAAAAAAAATAACTCACAGTGATAAAAATATATAATAAAAATGATTATTATGAAAATTTTCCAATGTATATGTAATTTCGTAAACCCTACCAATCATGTGCTCTTACATTGTGCATTTACATATTAATTTATTTTTTGCATATCAACATTAGACATTGAAGAAACTAGCATTGCATTAAAATTAACTTTGTTCCGATCTGTAGAGTATTGTGGAGTCAGAAGTATTATACCAACATTACATGTAGTAAAGGGCCTTTTGCAGCATTATTTAGTGGTAAAAGAAATACCCTTGTAAAGAAAAATTGAACAAATTGTGTTTATAGGAACATATAATGTGAATATTATAGTTATTGAAACTTTTTTACTGATATTTGTGTTGTAGTCTCTTTTTTTTCCTCAAGAATTTGAAAAACGTTTACTCCCTTTTCTCTTCCAATAATAAGCAGTCAAATTGTTTCTCATGAAATTTCATAACTTAGAAAGCTGCTTTCAACAGTTGTTCTTTACATAACACTTCTCAAAATGTCTGTGAACTTTTGTGCTGAACTCAAGCACTCCAAATAAACCTAGAATCATTGAAATGTTTGTGTTCAAAGGAGTTTGCATGTTTGCTTTTAAGCAAATTGTAATTTCCATTTACCAAAAAAATATTTTATGGCCTCTTGCTTCAGTCACTCTTTATTGTGAATTTTTTTTTTTCAAATCTTTTGAAATATTTTTTTTCATTTCAATTATTCTGCTAATTGTTGATTTGTATCTTTGAAACAAGAATACATTTTTGTTGAATGTCTTCTGTAATCTTCTTTATGACAAAGATATTTAATAAATGTAAGTTCGGGAAATTTATTACGAAAATAATTATTTTGTCTGTTAAAATAACATTAAAAATTATTTAAGCTGAATCAGTCTGTCTACAATTCCATTGTATATTGATTGGCTGCATTACAAATTTGTGTGTATTTACTTTACAAGAAACAACAATTTATATTTCTCTGAAAATGATCTAGATGTGAAATATCAGTGTCGGTGCATTCCTGCTAAATTTTAATTGCATATAAATAGTTCTTTCAATCAAAATTGTGCACCAGCATTGTGATTTACAAAAATAATAACTGAAAGTAGTTCAGTGACTGGGAATGTATTAAAAAAAGATAAGTGAGATCAATGTATTTATTTTGATGTAGTAGGGAAGGATTGTATTGATTAGTAGAACTGAGATTGGATCATTTGGTCTCTCATTAATCCAAGTGTCTTTATCTTGCATATTGTGTTCTCACATCTGTACATTCTGCATTGGATGTCTCACTCCTTCAATAAAAGTGAGTTGAAAGTAATTTTATATTCTCAATGTTTTCAGTAGATACCGTATTTTGGCATACCATTTTTCAATTGACATTCTTCTCAGTTGCCAATACCAATTTTGATTTTGACATCTGCATTCAAGTGCATTTAAGATGTCTATTGACATTTTGTGCATACTTAAAGAGTTTTAAGTGTGTACTCCTTGGAACTTAAAAGAAACTTAATTTACAAACATGTAATCAAACTACAATTGAGGCGCTCAGAGTATTAATGGCTGATCCTTATCGATATTTGTTTAAAGAAAAATGACTTGTTCTGTTTTTGTTCACGCTCACTTTCACTCTGGAGTAAAATTTTTGAAGTTGGAATTTGAGGTTTTTGCCTTACACCAATTCATTCGATATTTCAGCATATAGTATATTTCAGGAGTTTACCGTCACACTTGTAACTGATAAAACGGTGTTTGTTGGGATCTGCTGGTATTATCTTGAGTCCCTCAAATTCTATTTTCTTTCATTTGTGACCCTATATGCTCTTTCACCTTCCAGCAATGTCCCTAAAACTCAGTTTCCAATTTTTTATTATCTTTCACTCCTTTTGAAGAACTTCATATCTTCTATACAGAGGAGTGATTTCCAAGATTGTTTCAATTTTTGTTTATGAATATTTATTATATCTAAATAATGAACACACTCAAAAGCTACAGCTTACACTGATAGTACAAGATAAAACTTTCTTCTTCCTAATTTTTTTTTTGAATTTGATACTTAATATTGCTTGCTCAAATTATTAATGAATTGTGTAGTCTTCTAAAGACTTTATTAAATCTTGCAATATACAATTTGCTTATTTTATCTTGGAAATAATACTGCTTGTTTCCCACATTTATTAAATGTGTACTTGACCCCTCAATTGCATTCATTTAATAAATAGTATGATTTGAAGAAGTTTCTTAATTTTGACAATTGGAAAAAAAAGATGAATAATCAAGAGAAGCACTATTCATGTTTCTCATCTTTCTGCTCTAAGTTAAATTGCTAACCCGTTCTAAAAATGTTTGCGTGGCTTTTTTTTCCCAAAACAATGATTGTTTTATGAGTGTAATTCTAAAAGGTAGTGAAAATCGCATATCATGGATAATTTTTTTCATGATCAGATTATTTATATTTTAAAACGATTCATTCATAGTGTATATGTTATCAAACTGCTGTAGATTGTCTTCAATAGCATTATGACATTTTCTGTTAAAAATTAGTTGCCTCAATGTCTTCTGTTATTTATTATTCAGATAGTTGAGTAATTGAAATATAATAAATTATTTATTATATTTTATTAATTATTATATTTATACATTTATTATTATTTATTTATTATATTATTATATCATTTAGTTACTTTTTACCATGGTAAAAAACTGTGAACCTAGTTTCTTGATATTTTTTTTTCTTTCTTTGTCAATTGATTAACAACACTATATCTAAGTAGTGATCTCAAGTGTGCAGGAGTGTGAACTCTTGGTGGTATAATGAGGTACGCCAGTGTCTCACATTTTATTTATATAGTTTAGAAACTGATAGCTAAATCATAGTAAAGAAGAATCTGTTGCATTCATGAAAAGTGGTCACTTTTTCAGAATAAATAAATAAATGCAAAGATGATGAAAAAATTCAAAATGTATTTAGTGGGACTGACAATATAATGAAGAGTGTTTATTCACTCATTGATGGAATTTCTTTAGATTTAAACAAATATGATAGAAAACTTGAATTTAGGAGGAGAATTTCATCTCAATTTTTTAATAATTCTTGTGATCTTATTGGCTTTGTGGTAGTTCTGTAATATTAGTAAGAAGTGTTAAATATAAAAAAAAATATTGTGTGAGGATTAGAAAGTCATATAATGTAAGTATTATGTAAGTATTGTTACTTACTGAAGAAAAACATGGTATTGAAAAAAATCTAAATTTAATTTTGAATGAATGTAAGTCTCAATTTTTTGAGAATGAACTTTATCTTCTGCATAAAAGCCTAGTGTGAAAATAAGTGATAAAATATTTTATCTCATTGTCAAAATCATATCCCAGTAGATATTTATTTTTTCATATTTATTTACATCAGAAAGAAGTATTGTATGAAATTTGAAAAGTTAATCATGAAAATGGTGTTATTTCAAAAGTTCAGGCTTTGTTACCCAAATGAAGGATTTCATTTCCTTACTATTTACTCTAGAAGAAAATTCCTGAAAATAACCTTGAAACTTTGACGTTTGAGTAATTGTACTTTATTTTTCCTTCATTGCATTTTATTTTGGATTACTGGTTTTTGAGCATGAAGGGTAATCTATATCAGTTAATTAATGTATTTATTTAATTAACTGAATTGTTTATGTGCTGTAAAATTATACAGAGTTCTGAACTACGCAAGGAAAAACTCAAACATATATTAGTTACTTCTATCTTCAGCATGTGACACTACAATATGAACATCTTTCTTCATCATTAGCACTCATTGGCAGACTAGCAGACATTTCATAGTTGGATACTGATTTGATTTGAAACATTTGGTTAGTGTAGTTAAAGATTTTGGAATTGTCTCTTGGATGAGAGATTTGTCAATTAGGGGAATGTACTACATTTGAAATTGAGTTTCTAGATCATAAATAACTGTCTATAAACATAATTTTTGTATATAAAAACATACACTTGATTTTATTCATAAATAACTATTCACAATCATCAACATTACATGTCTTCCTCTTTAAAGTTGCATCATGTTGAACTATCTGTGATCCATTTCCATGTTTCTGAATAAAAGTGTGTGTGTGTGTGTGGATGTGCTGCGGGGGGGGGGGGCGAAGGGAAGTCTTTGTTTCTCGAATATAATTTCCTTGACTTGTTTTTTCTCATTGCCATTTTGGTCCTAACAAAACTGTTGTGAAGTTTTGCTTTTGAATTTGAACATTACCTTTGTGCTCAAAATGTTTAAAATATTTTGAGAAAAATATTGAATACATTTTAAATTACTAAAGTTCACCAGGGAAACGTCTTTAAAGATTTTAAAAATGTGAAACAATTTAATACCAAAAAATATCATACCTGACAAAAACATCCTTGATCTTTTTATTGGATGTGTCTTATTTTTTGTGACTATTTAGCATTTCTTTCTTTCTTTCTACTGTCTACATAAAAAATATAATATTTAATGTATTTTTCCATGTTTGTCCACACAACAGGTTTTTCTCATGAAATGACCTACTACCTTATTTTGTCTCTTTTCCCAAGAGATAGCAGAATAAAAGCCTTTTGCCTTCTTGTATTTGGAAATTGACTACTTTCCAAAGCATTACAAATGTCAAAATCATAATTGGCAACTTAAATCAAATGGACTCTTCCAATGTTAAATGTGTATTTCAATGAAAATTATATTTTTAATGAATTTCTTTATATCTATTGAAACAAAATGTATAAAAAGAGCAATTATATTACATTTATTGTTGAATAAGAAAATATAATTCAAAAGGAATGATTTACACATGACAAACATTATTCACTGTTGGAAGTACATTATAAATCACACTACAAATGAAAAGATTACTTCCTCATCTTTCCATGAAATGTTCGTGCTTACAGCATATCTGAACTCTGGGCATGTACATAGGGTGTGTACAGGGATTTTCTCCTTGAAATTTGTATCCAAATCTATTTTAAATCAAAACACATTGACATCTTATTTGGAACTTACTTTCTCCAATTATTGTCCTGTTTTTGCATCAGCTTCTGTGTCCCTTCATAAGCCGCTATCAATTTCAATATATATTTCTTCTGATGCTTAAAATAATCTGAATTTAATTTATAATTGTTTTAAGTCAAATTGTGATTGTTACTAATACAATTAGGGAGCATTATTGCTCAGTAAAGTTAGCGAGCACATGAAATTATTGTACATTTCTTATGAATGATTATTTTAAATAGTTTGTGAAATAGAATATTATACTGCTTTTACCACAACATTGTATCACATTTGAAAATATTAATTTTCTGTGCATTTAAATGTACTAATAATTGTCAATACCAATATTTCAAACAACTCTGTTAATATTGGAAAACAAAAAGAGAGAAAGAGAAAAGATTAGGAAATCATAATTTGAATGTCGTCTGCATCGGAAGAATCAATGTCAACAAAATATTGGGTGTTGTATAAATATTGACTTCATGTTAACACATTTAAACTTTGTTTCCTTCAGATGTCACAGTATTTAGTACAAAATATCATAATGCTCCTGTCAGTTCCTTGAACTACTGCAATTTAACAATGCTAGAAAAGCCCTCAACACACGTTTTATTCACTCTGTGTAACTAACACTATTTATGCCTCTCTGTCTCTGTCAGCCAGTATTGCATTAATTTCTTCTAAATGCACTTATTTCTTGTTAACTTATATTTTCATTTTACCATTTTGAAAATGAATCGCTCAAAGAAATGTGGCATTTACCATGTTGAAGGGACTAGGGATTATCTAATTCAAATTCACATGTATCCTTGAGTAAATTCTTATCTGAAGTCTTGATGTAATAGAGCTGGAAGAAAACACAAGTGAATTTGGCCAATAGCTAATACTGATGTAGGCTGTCCGAGGGCACTGCAATCACAGCAAGAGCAGGAGGAAATGTTGCCACTTGAGTGGCTTATTGAGAGTAGATCCGATGGCACATGCCCTCTGAATCTTGCTTCACGCATTGCCACGGGCAGAAGGAAGACGGAGAGCCAAGAGTTGCTTGTGGAGTCGTTGGCGACAGAACTGGTAGAATTCAACTTCACGTGTGAAGTTGCGACGTACCAAGTCCTTAACTTCTTCACTTACAGGTGGTTTGAATAGGTTGCGGTTGATTCGTGTAAATCTGTCCACTTCATCTATAACAGGATACAAAGGATGCATTATTTCTTTTCTTGTAATTTTCATCCCTTCTAAATAGAACAACAACAATAACAATAACAATAACAATAACAATAACAATAACAATAACAATAACAATAACAATAACAATAACAACAATATTAATAATAATAATAATAATAATAATAATAATAATAATAATAATAACTATAATACTAGTAATTATAACAGTAACAACTAATTGCAGCAAATATAGTAACAATAGTAAAGATAAATTTCACTATCTTTTTGTAACATTAAAGTTTACAAAAAAAATATTAGTATTAATCAAAAAAATGAGCACTGATGTCTATATCTGTTGAATGAGGCATAAAGGAAAACCTTATACTTGTAAGAGGTGGGAATGAAAGGAAAAATGTTCAGTAGTTTGGCTAGAATTAAGTATTTAACGTACTTAAGTAGTCTTGAAGAAAAATTTATTTTACATTTCTAGTTCCAGTTCAAGTACTTGAATTATATCACTGAAAATTAAGATTTTTTTATTTGCATCAAGAAAAATTACATTTCTTTAAAAACACTTTGACAAATAATTTCTTTGTCTCTTAAATTCTTATACCAATTTACTAATTTTATTTGACATTTATATAAAATTATTATCATAATGTTTTGATATGGCATTTTTTATAAGTTGTTCAAATTCTGCAAGTTGAGAGATGAAGGGTCAAAAAAAATTTTTAATTATCTGAAGAACCTCATATTTTGTTTGTATTATTTTTGCCTATACTAGGAGTTAATTTGAATAATTTTAGTTATTGAATATATAAAGTATTTTTTATCATATTGCATGTATTAAATCATTATAGTATAGCATTGTACTAATTGCGTTTCTACTCACCCCAATAAACTTCAGATGCTCCTTGAAAGAAACGTGGCACGTAATGTTCAAAAACTGTAAGAGTGGTATTTAAATCTTCAAGTACTCCAACTACTGCATAATGTTGTTCAACGGCTCGCTTAGCCAGTTGAAGGGCACCAATAGTATTGAATGGCCTGAAAATACATCAACATTTTTCGAAATGTGCTTCAAGAAAAGTGAAAAACGTGCTCTCCTTGTTCGTTACAAAGTACTCACGTGCACGAGTCACTATGCCCACAGAAAAATAGAGATTGCCTTCTGTGATCTCCAATACCCTCTCGAGTTTCGCCTTCCAGATAGCGGCATTCCCTGTCACCTCGCAGCACACAAGTTTCAAAGTCCTGAAACATTGTTTTTGAATAAAGCAATCTGTTATTGTAACAAATCATGAAAGTTTGCTTGTTTTTCAATATTCTAACTGAGCAATGAATATTTCATCTTTTCTCCTTTTTCTCATTTTGAATGTAGTTTACCTTTTTGAGCCATCTGGGATCAGGCAATGGAATGTCAGGGAAAGCTTGCTTTCTTTCAACGTAGTACCATGGAGCTCGTACATAGTAGTACCAAGATATAACTCTTTCTACTGGATCACGAACTAGATTGACATAGATGGGAGAAGCCAGACCATATCTAAAATAGAAACAAAAATATTGAAAATAAAATTATCTTGCTGATTTTTTTGATGGGAAAATTGTGCAACAGAGTATTATCAATGTGGAAACAGTGTTATTTTTTTGTAGTGGAGTAGTGAATCAGTATGGTTTTAATTTTGCATAGTTTTAAAAATGAGAATAATTTATAGCCCATTATGACACTATTTTTTTAAAATATGTCCAATAAAAAATATGATTAGAGTAACTGACATTTATTAAAAATTGTGAAGGATGACTAGAATAATATCCATTGGAATTTGGGCATATTGTTTTTTATTATGTAAATTTATCATAGTGTTTTTCTTATTAATTCCTGAATTATAACAATACAAAAATTAATTTGCTAATGCATTTTGTTGCCATTTATACTTTCTCGACCGTTTTTTATGATAATAATATTATCATAGAATCCTCCCCTATGTTTTTCATGTAGGTTACTTTTACGGCTCTCACACATGTCCAATCTTTATAAATGAGGTCTCTAAAGAAAGAGAATTTTTAGGTGACATGATGAATTTCCCTTTGACTTTAAAAATGTGAAGGATTTGTGTGTGTGTGGGAAGGGTAATCGTACCTAACTATTGATGTTAAATGCAACCCGCAACACTCGGGCAGCCATTTTGAAATCTGTAATTTTATGTTGGTCCAAATCGAATCATTTAAAGGGCTTAGCCAAAGGCCTCATGCCGATGGGCGTCATGCCAATCTAATGCATCATTGTTAATTATTATATTGCACACTCGATGTTGCGTATCTTGGTCACAAATAATAACTGATATGTTCCTTGTGTGTAGGTCAGTTAAAACAGGAGCTCCTCTAGCCAATGTTTTGGCTGTATTTAAAGCCTTTATTATGCCTCTATATTCGTCATGAATGAAATTATTTTCGTCCATAATTTTTGTGAATTTACTCCGGTACAATTTCAAATTGTTACATGTTGCTGTCTTTAACATTATTACATAACATGTAGAAGGCTTGCCCGCAGATTCAACCTCAGAATTCCTCCGACTCAGAACTCCTACCTCACCATGTAAATTTCAATTCTCAGTAATTTTATTTAGTTATCCAAAATATATTTTACAGCCCCGATGAAGGCGTAATACACGGCCGAAACGCATATTAGAAGATCTCGTAACTAAATCTGTTAGATTCTAGTTATTTGAATTGTTCTAAACCCAACCCAACATTTAGTTTTATATCACATGTTATAGACACAGAAGATTATTGCCTTAGTTATCGACTTGCCTATAGACTTATTACAGAAAGTATAAAGCAAAGTCTGATTAATTAATTATATGCGCGATAATTATATACACGACGCATATATATATATAATATACCTATATTATATAATACGCATATATATATATATATATATATACTATATATTATATATAGTATATAGAATCGTATGCCGCCTGACAGGCACCAAAAGATTCGAGAGATGCGAGATGGACAATTACAGGATTCCTCGATGAACCGGTGGCCGTTGACGCGAAACGGCTGCGTTTTGCGGACCCAGCCCCCTTCCCGTCCCCTGCTGTCGTAAACGCTGCGCTCGTCGATTCCACAGCGCGGCACTCGGCCACTGCCAAGTTTAATGACCACTATTTTCATCACCGAGATTTCCCTTTTTGGAGTCTCGGCTTTTCGTCTTTTCCCAGAGACAAGTCCCTCGCGATACGCCTATCGGCTTGGTCAGGTGCTGTCGACCTCCACAATTGGTGTAACGCGACGTACTCGTGTCGCACTTTCCACTTCATTGTCCACGCGAGGGCCTAGCTTCGATTACAATCTGTCGGCCTCATTTCCTCTTTATCGCATCTCGGCGCGCAATATTCCGCGGCACGTGTGAAAATTTCGATAAACACGAGGGCTATCTTTTGCTACTGTAGGTTCTTTAATTTTTTATGGGTAATTTATCGCGAGGACAATGGTCCTTGCGAAGCTGGAATGTCGTGCGTTATATTTGGGAGAAAACGAGTATGGGAAATGTGAGGGAATGCACAGTGTTCGTGCAGGTAATGTAAGTTTTCTCAGTCGTGTCCTGTAGGTGAAGACCGTTGGCGCGCGCCGCGTGCGAGAGACGAGTGAAACCTAGCGATCGCACTGCGGTGGATCGGCCGCTCTCCCGTTTGCGTTTGCCCGCTGCGGCGTCGGGCGCCGAAAGCCCTGCGTTGGGGCCGGCAGTGGCGCCGCGGACGTGGGCGACTGCTACTTGCATTCTTATCTCAATAGCGTACACTGAGGTTTTCATATGATCTAAGGATGTGCATTCATTTTTGTGCGTGGATTGGGTAGGTCTGCATTGCGGATTTTCGAAAATCGAAAGGTCATAAATTTCTTTTATGGTGTGCTGCAGGTGTTTCTTGGAGCAAAAACGAACAAGAAACAATTATTTGCTGATATTTGCTATTATTGTTGTTGGTTAATTTTATATTAAATTCCGTGACTTATTGATTTCAAAGCTGCCTCTTGATTTCAAGAAAATATTAAAGAAATTTGTAGAAGGTATGATATTTGCAGTTAGAGGGAGCCTCCAGAGAATGTTGGTTCCTCATATCTTAGTTTGCCCTGGAAGCTTTGAAAGTAACGTGTGAACGTTTCTTTTAAACCCTCGCTGTGGAAGCTTTTGCTGTCCGAAGGGCGCGTACGGGGCTCGGAGGTCTCGCTCGGGTGACGTTCGCGTTCAGAGGCGGACGCGCGAGGGAGGGGAGGGGCGCGAGCGCTCGCGGCCGCTGGGGGAAGGGGCGTGCATCCACCCTCGCTGAGCGGGTGAGTGGACCGGACCATTTCACTCGTTCCGGTCGCGAGTACTTCTTTAAATAAATTGCCAACGCAAAAGACTTAGTGGATCGTGCCGGAGGCGTCGCTGTAGAGTGGATAGTGATTCACGACGTCGTACGTACGTACGTACGTACGTACTTAGAAAAACTCATTAATTTGACTCGCTTTGCACGCGCATTTCCAAGTGGATGGCGAGGCTCCGGTCGTCGGCATACGTGACAAACATAAAATATTCTCGAGTCCAGCCAACGCACAATTTCCCCCACATATTACACCAAAATACCGATAAGTCTTATTTTCTCTCATCGCTCGAGTAACTACGACTTCTATTTAATTAAATACGTACATTGATGAGCCCCCTTTCTTTCTTCAAAATGCCAACCGCTGCAAATGCGAAGCGGTGAGTGCGGTCGCGCGTCGGTGCGCAAGAGCCCGCCCTTGCCGGGTTTCTCCCGGAGGGGCACGCGCGTGGTCCAGTGCTCCTCGGAGCTCGTTTTGGGCGCATGCGCGCGCTGCGAGTGGAGCAGAGGGCCGCTGGGTCGCACGTGGGCTGGCGGGGAGCAAGTGCCCTGCCCCGTGGTCCGCTTGCAAGAGAAAACGATACCGCATTGTGTTGCCCTATTCGAACAGGCGTAACGCGTCAATTATTATTTTATTAGAACCAGTAAAGTGACATTCATAATTTTGATGTACCGATGATACACGATATAATTTCGTCGCTAATCGTAATTTTTTCACGGTTCAGTGGAAATGAGCACCTTTCCAAACAATCGGTCTTCAAACTCACGAAGTAGCCATAGATAAAAATGGAATCTGATTGAAATATCTTTCTTTGTGGGCGATCAAAAAATGAATATGGCAAATTATAGATTTGAAAGGTGTGCATATTTTGGTGAAAAAGAGGACTTTCATCAGTAGTTTTTAACAAGAGAAAAAAGAATCAAGAAGCCTCAAAAGCTGCTCTTCACCTGCCGCTCCCCTTGAAAAATTACGTGTGAAAGAAAGAATTGGGGGTCACCTTCTTTTACCATTACGTCATTGCTACACTTAGGTGTCGCTAAGGCCGATAATGGAAGTGACCTCCGTTATGGTACATTATCTGGCATTTGAAAAGGAAGTTAGAGCTAATTTTAGTTGTCTGCAATATTTTTCAAATTGTTGTTCTACAACATGTAATCAATTATGATTTATAATAGATCTCCCTTCATTTTTGTATACTTTCCAACCTACTACAACTTTGGGGTACTAAGTTAACGTAAATGTAACTTCAATTTAACTTCTCTATATAGCATGTCACACCCCGTTTTTAGCTGTTTTTGACGTAAATAAATAAATAAAAAGGTTTTGGCAATATGAAAGTAACTTTTATATTGTCTAATTTGCCTTAATTACAGTAGTTTCTTTCCTCTAAAGTCTTTTGAATCGAACGCCGATTATTTATAGTTTTGCGATAAATGCCCTAATGTTGATTTTCGATCCTCGCAATTTAAGTTAGTAAATTAATAATCATTTCTACATAGGTTTGATATTGAATTAAGTTATGAATGCAAATTTGTGTAATCTTGAGATTAGAAATGAGAATTATTCAGATGCAGTAATGTGTTTATTAATGATAAAAATATCAAGTTAAAAAGAGTGAGTTCTAATAGAGAGGGCGTTACGTCCATTTAAAGAGCTGAATGATAGGGTAACAAATTACATGAAGTAAGGGCACATTATTTGCGAGAAAAGTTGTAATTGCTATGGAAGTTTCGCTTTGTATTAATCTTTAATCAGCCTTTTCTGACCTCCTTGACTCGCATTTAATGAGATTAGCATAGCAGGTGCGGTGAACTTCGGGCGCCTTTTTATTAACAAACAAATGCCCTTGCGTATTGTGGAAGAATGTTAAATAATTCTTTAGCCTGACCGCAATTGCAGTGTAATCAGTAAAATTTGTGACAATGATGAGCGAAGAAGTGTCAATTCATAAAGAAACCAATGATTAGGGTTAAACTATTTTGTTTCAGTGAACACCGATTTGAATCAGTTTGTTCGACGCACTTTGCATTCCAACCCCCGAAGAGTTGCGGTCTAGCTGCTGCCTCTCAGGATGCCAAGTCACATTCAGAACGAAACTTAGACGTAAAAAAAAAGGGGTGCCATGTAATTTGAAGGAACAATTCCGAACGGTAAACATAATTGTAAACGCAAACAGAAGCAAGATGTAACCTCAAAGTTTGTCAACCTCAAGCTTTGACGTTCACGTTCCTAGATTTGAGAGCAACACACAATCGTGTACAGCAACAACATTCAAAGATTTGAAGTTCTCGTTAGAGGCGAGTGTACGTAACAAAAGCATACATTGCACTTGTTCGACATCATTTTTCATTAAACGTTCTGTGAAATCACTTATTGCGTCCATGGAATGCGTAATTATAACACGATCACGGTCATTTGACTTATTGAAGTTATTGAATTTTGATACCGACTCGAGTATTTTGGGGTCGATAGGTTATTACATCGATGAGTAGCTGTGTTCACTTTTACATTCAGGGCATTGGAACGGTTATGTGCATGATCAAATCTCATGTTTACAGTTTACGTCCTCACGTGTACGTTTTCAGCGTGGTAGAGCCTTAAATCCGGGCCTGGCCAATAATGTACTCGTACTTTTGAACAACCGACTGGCACTGTTCTAGCGACAGGTGGCAGTGGGCAGTGGTTCTCAGCGATTGTGCTCAGTTGAGAATCAAATGAGTCAATGCATTGTGCACCATTCCGCGTCTCGCACGCGCTGTCTCGGGGGGTAGAGGCGAGGTTCTTTGCGTAACGCGGCTGCCATGAGCCCTCGCGAGGCAAAGCGGCCGCCAGGAAGCGAACGTGCGTCCGTTGTGGCGCCTCCGCGACGGGCAGCGGTGCATGCACACGAATGAGTTTGATTGGTCGGAATCGAGGGCGCCCGTCCGAGCGGAGAAAATAAACTAGAACAGAGGAAAACCAGAAACGGAGGAAATGCGCCATGTTACGCTTCACATGTAATGGCTGTCTGAAGACTGTGAGTGCAGACTGACATCCTAGTGGAAAAGTAAATTGTATGCGATGCGAGTAATGTTGTTAATAACTATATAGTTGTCTAAAAAGGGACGCAGCATATACACATGTTCAAACGTGTCGTCTAATTATAACAAAAATGTCATATTTTGTGAAGAAGCATTTAACACTTTAGAGGCAAAAATATATCTCATAATATATAAATTTTTAGTATGTGATAATTATATTTGCTGATTCTTAACACATAATATTATGTTCACATAGAAGATACGTTTAAGAGATATTTTTTTGTGAATTAGTGTGGCAGGTTAATATTAATGTCTTTATTAGATTCTATATTGTTTCCAGAAAATGTTATACCATGGTACGTTTGTATGATGACTTGTTTTATTTTAAATATTTAATACAAGTTGAAGATGGCAAAATAATTCATTATTAGAAATATTTACGAAGATTTATTAATATGTGAAAATAAAGTTCGCCTTTAGTTCTAAGGACATTCTTCATCATAAAATATCAAGTTTGTTTACACAGAGCATGTTGGTTGATTATCTGTGTAAATATTTCGTGATGCTAGTAGTGGAAAACTCGAAGGGTGGCTGTCCATCTCGGAACTCATTCAACACAAACTCGTGCAATTCGTGTTTCTAATTCGTAGTCTTTTGAAGTGAAATCTGGTCATGCTACAGAAAGGTGAAGACTTTGTCGCACTAGGTAGACTCTAAATCTCTTTGGTCTAAGCTAGTTTGTCGGTATTTCCCCACCTCCCACCTGCTGTCGGCAACCCAAAAATGTTTACACTTTTTCTCAATTTTTCGGTCTACTATTAGTAGATGGTCTTTAGACGAAAGTTGAACAGACAGTACTACAAGTATAAAATCATTCCATTCAGTTAAAATTCAAATCAAAATGACTTGAAAAATTAAAATTGACAGTTTCGATGTTTCGGCCACATTTTCGTAGCATTTTCGTAATATATGGACATGAAGTAACAAGAAAGAAAATAAAAGAACTGTATACCTTAATATCGTCTAACAATATGAGTTACACGCTTGAATGGAGCATATTGCTTACTAGCTGAACATATAGTAAAATTTGAAATTCATATTAATTAAACTACCAGTACTATTTAATGGCCGGAAGTAATTCGTCGTCCTTATGATTACTGGCAGATGGTTCTGTTTGAACGTGACTGCTATAGACGTGCTGCGCTTAGTACTCGTAGATTTCGCAGTAACCGCCCTTGGAGTTGCGCGACAAATTTGAACATCACCCGAAGGGAAAGTACAAAAACTATTGCAACAATTTTTAATTTAATTGTAAGTAAAAGTACATTACAATTAAAAAATCCACCTATAAATTTGAAAACAATGAGCTAAATTCAAATGATTTTTTGGAGCCGTTGAAAAGGTACATTTAGTCATATTTGCTACTTGTTGACTGTAAAGATTACTTGCTGCACAGCATTGGTAAATTACAACGTAAGGTGCATTTCGACATAATGCACAATCCAAGATCACGAAGTCCGTGGAAGAATTGAGTAGCAAATGAAAAAAAAAGTTTTAACTTAAGCGAATGATGGGGCATATTGTAACGTATAGTAAATACCCTGGATATATTTACTAGGCTGTCCGGGTGATGCCTAGCGTTACGTCCTGAGGAAGGTCGCAGAATGGCGACCGAAACGTCGGCACCTTCGCTAAGGACGCGGCGTCACCTAGTAAATACTGACTCCGGCCGCGGAAGCCTACGCTCTCAAATACCCTGGAGTCCCAAACATTTGTCTCGATTAATTTCGAAGTATTTTTTTCAAAATTCACTCTTAAATATTCTTGTTTTCCAAACATACTATGCGTTGACTTCACCTTTGAACGATAGAGATTTCACCGAATTGAAAGCAGGGTAAATCCCTTCTAAATATCAACGATTATCGGTAAGATCTCCAGAGCTCGCAACACAGATGAAGGCGGAGCCCAGATCTGCAGGGGACAGACACATTGTTCCCAGGCTTTAGCCGCCTAGCGTTCGTTTCCGAGTTGCATGAAGCAAAGGGGTTGTCGGCCGCCCGGAGCGAAAGAGCAACAGACGAGAGGTGGAGTTAAAAGGGAAATGCGCGCCGGCGCTGAAAAAGTTGCCCTTTGTGAAACTTCGCAGACTTTGCTTATATTTACCGATGTCTGAGTTCTTTGCTTTCCGCTTCACTTTATGCCGTGTAGTTTATTTGCAAGAAGGGATTGCGACTAACTTGCCCCGGTAGCCGGTAAGTGCATGGAAGTTTTTAGACGCTGTGGAGATTTATGAATTCCTCGTACTCCCCCCGACCCCCTGCAATGATACTAGTATGTTTTTCGACGTCGTTATTACCATGAGTCGTTGGGAGAAGAATACGAAAGAAATATTTTCCTGTAGATGTCGGGGAGTCGCATAGCATTTGATTCACGATGCCTTAATAACGTCTCCAGTTCTTTTAGATACGCATTTCTCTAGCCAGATGTTCTTTGCAAAATAAGGAAACTATGTTGCTGCAATTTTCGGTTTTCATTTCTTCCTTAGCAGGTGGTCCGTTGTCACTGGCCCACATACATATAAAAAGAAACTCATGATGACTATTGTGTTTCAGTTTACACTTGCTCGGAGAAGAAACAGTCAGTAATCAAATGTGATGATTCGTTTCTATCAGAGATGCTATTGTTAGTATTCCATGCATTAGTATTCATTTAATTTTCAACTTTGGTTCGTGCACGGGGAGTGACTGCGAAGAGTTTCCTTGAAAAGACAGTTGCGTGAATGAGAAGATTCAATAGGTTAGCCACTGCCTATTTGGAACTACTTTTGGTATCCCTTTATGAAAGAGCAATATATTTTAGAATGTATTGTATTCGAAAAACAGCAGTAGCAGTACTTGGTACAACGAGGTGATAACATTTTTGCTAGACAGATATTAATAATTTTAAAAATTTATTGAGAAACATATTGTTTTATTTACGCGTGTGTCCTGTATTATCAATTTTTCTTCATATAAAACTGAAATATTTTCTAATTTGTATGAATTAGCCCAAAGTTTTGACTCTTTGCCATATCAAAATATTGCCATTTAGCTACACTTTCGATGTGCTAGAAAAAAATAGGTCGAGAGAAGCTAACAGGAGTTCTGAAGAAGGCAACCGAACTTACAGCCATTTCAAAGGGCATTGTTTTGATTATATTGTAATACTTCATTTTAAGGAGTCTTAGCTTGGTAATGCTTCATTTATTATTATTATTATTATTATTATTATTATTATTATTATTATTATTTGAAGACGTATGTATCGGTTGAAAAATTCTCGCATGATCCAATTTCGTCCATTTCCCACAAGACTTTAGGCAAGCACCGTTACTCTGTAGCATTATTCTTCCAATTGTTTATTGGGATTGTTGTGTTTGTGTTGAGTGGAGTGTTGTGGGTAAGAAAACTCACTGCGAGAAGTTGGTGAAGCACACATGCTTCACGTAGACAGCGGGCGGGGGAAAGCTGTTGACGTGCATCGCCAGGTTCAGCTGCAACAGAAGCAAGAACTGTCAGTTTTGGAAAGGGTTTTCATGTAAAACTTTAAATGTCTTGCTCCTGTCAAAATGTATAAGGCTAGAATCTTCAAAAAATCTCTAGAAGTTGAAATTTCTCTTTTTAGATTCGGGTAACGAAGAATAATGATACAGCGATGTTCTGAACGTAAATTGCAGTGAAGGTAACAAGCTACAAAAATACAATATAAATTATTTTTATTAATTGGTAAATTAACTAGTTAATGATATATAGGCCTATTAGTAAATGTAAAAACGAAGTGTGAAGTTCAATCTGATTCAGTCGTGCTGATAACGGGATAATTAATTGAAGTATATTTTTCGTTTTATTTCACACAATTATTGGTGTTTGAGTTGATTATTGTACGTTAGATATAGGAGAGTCAAGTGTGACTTTGTACTGTTGCATCAAGTGCTATTGAAGAGAAGAGAAGAGGAGAGAAGGGACTGACCTGGTCGGCCGGCGCCAGGCGGATGGTCTCCACGCGCTGGATGTGGTCGCGGTGGAAGCCGAAGCGGTTGCGCACGGACAGGCGGCGCAGCAGCTCCATGAAGGTCTGGCTGCCCACCTTGGGCACGCGGTTGAAGAACACCACCTCCACGCCCGCGCGACGCGTGTTGTTCAGCTCCGTCGCGTCCAGCCCCTCCAGCTGCGCACGCGCACACGCCACGCACACGAAGGTAACATCGGTGTCTCGTGAAGGAAGAAGATGAATGGGAAGAGGGTAAAGAATAAACTGGTGGGAGAGAGAGAAGAAGAAAAAGAAGATGAAGATGGGGGGGGTGGGGGACGAGTAACGTTTTCAAAATTAATGTTGTGTGCATTCTACCTCGTTTTTTATCCTTGGTTTAAAAACACAATTTCGTTTCGTTCAAGTACAGAGCCAAGAAATCATATACCGCGGCGGAATGACGGCGAGGAAGGATAAATTTTCAAGAGAATAATTGTCATTGATTGAGACACAGTACAAGAATAGTAATATTGAAGGATAAAATTGAAGAAAATATGGTGTAACGTAATTCTGGCAAAGAAAATTGTGTGAATTGTATATTTAGCAGAGTGGGAATAACGGTATTTAGAACAATACTTGCATCCCAGAACGAAAACGGCGAGAGGTATGTGGATAATAACATAATTACGTAGTGGGAAGCAGATACTTCATACTCCAGCGCGGTCAGCAACACTAATTAGGTATCATTTAGTGTTCCGTGATACCTTTCAGAAGTCTGGGTTTTGCGTAAATGTAGTTTAGTGAAGCGAGTCCCTTTATTTAGAAGATTCCTGAGAACTAAAATGAAGGATTTCTAAAAGTATTTTGATTTAAAATTTGAAATGAATATTAAATCTACAAGTAATTAAATTTAGTTTTGTCGTGAGGTTTTTCTGCTTTTTTCTTCACAGCTACATTTCTTCTCAGTTGCATTTGCGTTGAAAAAAAGATATATTTTTTTAGACTTATTGAATCAACCTTAATTATATTTTTGTATAGGTCTGTTAAAACAGACAAATTAACCCTTTTTTGAATTTGAAAACCAAAAAGTTGAGGTGCATGTTTTCCTTTAAAATCGCTGAATACATATTCGCGAACAATATGAACTGTTACATAAAAGTTGTTACAAGTTCGTGACTACGTGGCCTCCGAGGTTTTTATGACAGTTGACGCGGGCGTTGGTACATTGTGTAAAAGAAACTTGTGTCGTTTACGCGGCGGCAACATTGTGGTCCACTTGTTCGCCCATTCTGCCCCTCCCCCTCCCCCGCGCCCCCGCGTTTACATTCACGCGCAGACGCTGCCCTGGAGTAGTTGGTTCAAAGATTACAGTACCTTACAATCACCGCTCTCACTTAGAAGTACCTTACTAAGAAGTTCGTTATGTGTTTGTATACGATTCAGGTTTCAACGTAGTACATGTTATGATTAATGAAAGAGCTCGAGAAGATTTAGAGATTCGAATTAGGCATTTTTTTCCGTTTTCTACTACGTTTGACTTTAATTCCTGTATTTATTTTAATTTTGTGTTGAACATGACACTGTTGAGGGGGAGCCTTAACATCACTTGAACTATCTCGAGAAGTTGTAATATGTCGGTTCAGTTGGTCCGATATTAAGATGATGCTAAAATCACTGAATCACTTTCGTGATGCACTGAAGTAGAAAAGCATCTAGTAAAGATATTACGCAGTAGGAATGTCATGAAGTGTTATTTTAATTTGTAGCTCTATATTGATGTTCTACTATGACTGCATAAATTAAACTTACTTGCGCAGTATTCGTGAGCGAGATATATTGGATATTTTAATTGTTTCCATTATTTCGGTACTAAACCTAAAGATATTGATTGTGTGTAACGTATGAAGTTCTAATTAATGTAATATATTGTTCTCTTCTAATACTGTAATATATGCTACATTCGTAATTCTTTCATAAGACGTGGCCCAATTAAATACAGCCGTGCATCAGATTGATAGTGATTTACGGAAGTTAGAAAAGACAGTTTTACTATTTAGACATGTACAACCCATGACGATATGTGAGGAAAGGATGTTGGGGAAGAAAAGCAACGGTAGACCATGTTTTGCATTTTGGAACCGCACCGTCTTGCAGCCTCCGCAAGGGAAAGAACTTGAACCTGAAAGTCGAACGGAGGCTCGAAGTGCAGACCCTGAGATTTTTGCGGGTGCGAGACAATGGCGTGCTCTGACGCGCGCGGCGCTTCGGGACAAGGCAGCGATCTTGTCCGCGGGCGCGGGGGCGGGCGCGGTGGGCGGGGCGCGGGGGCGGGCGCGGGGGCGGGCGCGGGGGGGCGCATTGTTTGCGGAGGCGACCGAGACCGGCAGGGCGGCCCCCTGCCAGCGCCTGCCTCAGCGCCTGCCCCAGAAGGCGAAGCACCTCACCCACCAGCCCGGATGTGGCGTTGTCGCCTTCGCTCCTTGCAGCCTCTCGTTCGCTCTTCACAGCACAGCCTCTTGCCATTCGCTTTCCACCCCCTCTCCGCTCTCTCTTCGGCCGCCAACTGCCTCCTCTCATCTCTGACGGTGCCTCCCTCTCACTGCGCTCTTTCTCATCCCCGCCCAATCCCTTCGCCAGGCTCCGCGGGCCTCCCTTGCCCTCCCCGCCCCTCTCAATGACCCTCTCCTCCGCGCCAGAAGCGTGTCTTTTCATTCTCCTCTCTCGCTCTTCTTTCTCAGAGCCTCACGCCTTCCTTCTGCGAAAAAGCTCTCTGGATCCTCGCAGATGTTTTACGCTCTCGCCTCTGCTTTAAGCTGCGCTCACCCAAAGCATAGTGTACTGACATTCAGCCGTCTTGTACAATTGCTATTCTTGGAATAAGCTAAAAGCTTGTTTACTGGAAATTGTATAATAATGAAGATGGCATATAAATGTCCTTTATGCGGTTCTCTTGCTCTTCCTTATCGTGTTCTTTTTGGTTTTTGCTATTCGCGACCCGCCGCGCCTGCTTCGTAGTCAAGACCTAAATAGCAGTTTGGAGTTTCACCGAGCTGACTTCGGCGGTTCCTCGAATTTGAAATAATTTTTGTGGGTTCTGTACGTGCAGCCCTAGCGACATTTTCGATTTTTTTTCACAAATGATTCCAAATTTTTTCTTTAAATTATTCGCTTGAATAAATAGAAATCCAATTATAAAAAGCGCCTTCTTTTAAGAAATTTTAAAAATTACAAAGGTTAAAATTTTTTGAACATTCTTGTACAAATTTTTTATTGAAGATGAGGAGTTTCTTTTAATGAAATCTGTTCTTCAAAATTAGACCTGACAAATTGTATAAATCAAATAAACAAGATTTTATTAAAAACAGATCCAATTTTTTCTTTATTTTTTTTTGTTCGAAGAACAGAGTTCGCTTAATAAAATGGCATTACCATTACCATAAAATGCCATGGCATTACGCCCTGAGGAAGGTCTCAGAATGGCGACCGAAACGTCGGCACCTTCGCCATGGACGCGGCGTCACCCGGACAGCCAAGTAAATCTCTTCCCTCCTGTTGTTCGTGCTGCTCTGTGCTGCTTGGTGCTGCCGCGGAGACCCGTTCCTGGCTTCCGAGGCTGCGAGCGTGCTTCCTCGTGGCGGTTCTTTCCTCGTGCACTCGGCTTCGCGACCTGCCCCGCTCCGTGCCTCGCCCGGCTCGTTTGGTCGCGCGCTCCACGCCTCCTGCCCTCCACTGCGCTCTCACGCCGGGGAGCCGCCCCCGCGCCCTGGCACGCGGCCGCGCTGGGGCGTGGAGACACCAGGCAGAATGTCTGCAATTCCAACGCAAATACGAGATTGCGCTGAGCCCTCATTACGTTCATGAAACATACACTTTTGTAATGAATGATGCCTCAGGAAACGGAATACCTGTTAGGGGCGATTTTTATTAACTGTCTGTCCGCAGGAAACATAATCTGTTGGTTGTTAACAAGTACCTTTCCTCTGCAAATGCAGAAAAATAGAAATATTTGCCGTGAGAAATGACATTAGTGAATGGGATTACGGAGCTGGGGTCGTGCCGTGGGCAAATGGTGAGTCCGTGGCCAGTGACATGGGAGCGATAGCGCGAATGGTTCATTTGGGTCACATTAAGTATAATTGCCGATGCGGGTGGCGGAGATCGCGCGTTCGAGTCCCGCCTCGAGTGTATTTGTATTTGTTCGTCGTGTCGCCCCTCATCCACACCCTATCTCTTCATTCAGCATTCCCTGCAAAAAGGAAGGAGGCCCTTCTGCTCAATGGGATCTTAGTTAGCCAATTAAAAATAAAATGATTTCATGATGTTTATAATTGGAAGTTGTGTTTAATCGCCATTTGAGCTCCGAAGCGCATCTTTTTCTGCCCTGCGCGAAGATTAGCGTTGGCGCGACGAGTTGTTAGGGTGACGCCACGAATCCGGACGGTGGAAGTTGTTACCGAGTTGTGGAAGGAGAGCGGTGCCGGGTTGCTGACATCTCAGAGGTTCGCATGCCTTCTTTTATCCTTAATGACTCATATACTTCCTGTAATTAATTATCCCAAGATTCGTGTTTGGGGAATGATGTTCATGACACTTACTTTCGAAGATCTGATATCTTCGCATAAGGTGGTTCAGCTGCCTTTCAAACTTCATAAATCATATCTATAATTTTATTGTACAAATATATCTGTTACTTTAAATATATCTAAATTTAAGTGCTGGAATGTTTGGAAAGTGAATTTGGGGGGAATTTCTACCCATCTTGAAAACTTAAAACCTATCTGGAAGGATTTTTCCTACGCTTATTTTTCTTGGGAATGAAATGTAATTGGAATCAGTTATCTTTGAGGGAAAATATATATTCCATATTTTAAATTTGGCAGAAATTTACCTTATTCATAACATGATTATCTTTTAAGAAGAGAACTTCATAGTTTGTACCTCTTAAGTCGACGTGGAAGTCAACGGTGAGCCATTTCGTGAATTGAAAAAAAAAATCCTCCTTTTTTTCATATTAAAAAAAGCGTGTTCGACCTTCCTTCTTGATTTTTGGAAGAGGAACAACTTAAATGCTACAGTTCTTCGAAATTTGACTAATTCTTTTAGTAACAATATGTGCTTGAATTCAACGTTTTTTTGCTCGATTTGCAATTTCGTACGTGAACTCGTGATTGTACCTTAATTTTAATACATGTCCTCGG